AATTTTAATAAATTTTTTACGAGGTAATTACTGCTTGAGCTTGAATGTTTAAAGTGCAAACTGACCAACCGTTTTTAAGCTACTTTGTAGTTTACTACAAAGTAGCTAGAACCAATTGGTCATTTACAAATGACTACTAAAAAAGAAAAACAGCCTTCCCAATCAAAAGCCAGAAGTTGATTTATGTACATTTTGCTGCAAGTGTAACTGTTTGTGGACAGGGCCGTCCCGAAGAGGTCTTCTATGGGTGGGTGTATGTTTTTTTTTTGCCAACTAGAAACACCAAAAAAAAAAAAAAAAAAGTTCCTCAATATTTGCAATTTGCCAACTATTGTTCAAAACTTGCTCAATGTTATAACTCAAATGGTTAAATGATTAAATGACAGCTTTGGGGGGTTGGACACCCCGACACACAACCCCCCTCCTTTGGGACGGCCCTGTCTGTAGACGTTGTAGTTTCCTTTTAAATAAATGTTTGTAATTCGCACTTTACTTGAACATTACTACGGGGATTATATTTCAAAAAAAAAAAAAATTTTGATTTTTTCTGACCCACAGTGTTATTTTAAAAATATAGAAGGAAATAATTTTGAAACTTTTCTCAATTTTTTTTTTTTTTTTTTTTTTTCTTTTGCAGTGCTTATTTTAATTTAATGCAGCGGCAAATAACTCTTCTGAGCATGCGCGAAAAGGAAGATGAGGAAATTTAGAAAAATACCTTTAAAATACTAACAACTCAAAGACATATTATGAATAAATTAAATACAAATATATAACTAAAAATATATTTTTTATAAGAACTAAGTTAATATGTTTATTTAAAATAATAACAATTCAAACCTTTTTTAATTGAAAAACGTTATGTAGATTTTGAGGAAAAGTGTTTTTTAAAAAAAAAATTGCAAAAAATTTAATATTTTTAAAGCCAATATGAATGGTTCTAGCAAGCTTTGCTTCATATCTAGTAATTAAACTTTTTAGAAGTGCTTATGTAAATAAGTAATAAATACAGCCTGTCAGTTTTAACTATTTCTGGATGGTGCAAAATTTATAAATTTTACGTTTTCATAATAAATCTTGTTTTTTAATTAAAAAATTTAATTTTTAGTCATAATTTCTACACAAAATCTCCAATGATTAGAATAACTTGCCGATTGCAAGCAAAATGGCTTCGACGGTTAATGCGTTTAAGAATAGACTTGACAAGATTTTTTTTCTACAGCTGCAAATAGTATGGAAAACCGGGGCTAGTTGCAAGAAACTTTTAAAAATTCTATTTATTCAAGGAGGTTTAATAAAGGAGGTTTATTTACTATTATTATTTTTTTATATTATTTTATTATTTATCCAAGAACCTCCTTGCATTTATCTAACAAAACTCAAACTTAGATATCAACAAAAAAACTAAATTTGCTAGCAAAAAAATTTTCATTAAAAAAACAAACATGTATTAAATAAACTAAAGAATCAATTAAATTTCAATTTAACAATTCGATTTCTAAAATGTTTGTTTTTTTTGGTGTAGAAGTATAGCAGATTTTTTTTTTTCTAGAACAAGTTTTCTATTTGCAAAAACCTCGAGTACTATCGAAATAACTAGAAAAGTACGTAAACGTTGTTTTATTTAGTTAAATAAATCGGGAAAGAAAGGGTCAAATAAATCATTTTTTAAAAATTTTTTATCATTTTGTGTTTGAAAAATAATTTTTTAACTTACCATTATTTTATTATGGTCACATATCTCTAAGTTTACTTGAAACCCAAAAAAACTTTAAAACAAGAATAAGAATTTTATATCGAAAAAACAAAATTAGCAATAAGTTTTGAAATTATTAATTTATCACTAAAAGTGTTTTTTTGCTTACGTTTTATAATTTTAGTTAAATAATGTAAAAAAAGTTATGAATAATATACAAAAATTATTCTTTAAAACGCATTGTTACAACTAGTCCTGGTCTCACCTACATCTTTTACTAAAGGAGAGCTAAACGTTTGTTAATTAATTCATGTTTTTCAACTACAAATATTAACTTTTAACTTTGTTATAAACTTTAATTTAAACGAAAAAAAAGAAAATTCAAAAAATAAATTTTTCTAATTTTCTCACTTTTGATATCAACTGATTTGCAATGAAATGATGATTACTTTTTTTAATCTGATTTTAAATTTTTACAAATCCCTGTATTTTTTTGCATATTTTATCGGTTTCGTTTTTGTTTAATGATTTGTCATGTAATCTAAAAAGACTTATTTAAATATATTACTGTTACTACTTAGCAGCCGTGAAGCAGTAATAGCGTCTGATTAAGAAGCAAGGGGTAGAATAAGAAAGAGAAGAAGAAACAAGAGATTCCGAGTTCAATCTGTGCTTTGGGCATACTTTGCGTCGTCTGTAAATAGGCGTGAACTTTTTTTTTTTTAATTAGTTATTTGGCTAACATGGCTTCGAGCCAAGGACCTCTAGTTTTGAAGCAGGTACTCTAACCGCTAAAAAACGGCTGCTGCATTAGTTAAATGTCCATCCTAGTTAAATGCTCATTAGCGGTGCTGTGTGACAAAACCGTTGGGTCTTCTCGGAGCATCTTTGTCTTTTCGGTATGCATTAAAACTTTATTGATTTTCCAGATTTAGATAACCCAAAAGAAAACATGAAAATTTTAACTATCTTGCTAAACAGATTGTTTGAGCAGTCTTAGACAAATTAGATATATTGAAAGTTTTTCTGCGTTTTTATGAAACTTTTTCAATATATTATATAATATATTGCAACTTTTTCTAAATGCTTATATCCTCCATAGAGGTCCGAGTACCTCAAATAAAGAAATGGTAATTCACTGGCTAGAGTAGAGCAAATTTCAAAAATTTCTGCAAACTATATCTTAACAAACTTTTTTAACCACCGTTTTGTTTTGGTAAAAAGACAAAAGTGCTTGCAAAGTAATTTGCAAAAGTGCAAAACTTTTGCAAATTAGTATATTTTTTTTTACACAAAAGAAACGATGTTCTAAAATTTAAATATATTACATATTTATATCTTACATTTATTAGTTTTATTTGTAAAATAATATATTAGTTAAGTTTAATATTATTTCCAATAATTAAGTTTTATTGGAAACTTAACTACAATATATATATATATATATATATATATATATATATATATATATATATATATATATATATATATATATATATATATATATATATATATATATATATATATATATATATATATATATATATGTATATATATATATATATATATATATATATATATATATATATATATATATATATATATATATATATATATAAAACTAAAATCTGATCAAATAAGAAAATATTTATATCATATAATTGAAGCTCCACAAATCTTGGAAAGATCATAATTTTTTTCTTTACTTACCCCAACTTGTAGGAAAAAGGGGTTTTGATGATAATATATATTGTGTTACTTAAAAACATTAGCCAAAAAAATTCATGGTGTTTGTTCTATTCATAGCATTATAACTATAGCTACTATTTACTTTGTTGCTACGAATACTGTCTATTCCGGTAAAAAACTTTGGCTTGTATGAATCGTTATAACTATTTTTATGAGTTAATGATGTGCTTGGTCGCTGCACTGCATTTCCTAATGATTTAACTGCCTCTTGTGAAGAAAGATAATTGCTATATCTTGGTGATTTTTTAGTGCTATGTGAAATTGTGACAGGAGCTATTGTTTTTTTTTCATTGCTCTTTAATGAATTTTTTCCATAATACTTGGTTCTTTCTATGGATTTCATAAACTCCATAGGTTCCATATAATCAGCATTATCATTTTTTTTTTTAATTAAATCAAGAGCCCGCTGTTTTGGGGGTCGTGGCCTATTAAATATTGAAGCACACTTTGGTATGTGTCGTTCAGCCACTGTAGGATTAAATCTTCTACTGCAATGTTGACATTCTATATAATCTAAATTCAGTGAAGGTGGTGGCGGTGGGAGATCAGATGCCTTGCCACCATTATCCATATAGACTTTAAGTTTTCTTGCAGCTCTTATAGTATTTATAAAATCATTATGCTTTTGTCTCCAATCAGATTTTGATTCTAAACTTTTAGCATCTGGATCAATTCTTTGATGTATTGGTTTAGCATCAGAACCTTGTGATCTTTGTTTTGATGAATCAAATACTTTTCTTTTTTTTTGTTTCATTTTGAAACAGACACTTTTATGCCGATCTATCCGATCCATTGTAAAAAAACGTTTACATATATAGCATTCAACCATATCATTGTTATTGTTGTTATCATCACTATCACTTTTATCATATGTATTGTAATTTGTATTAACTTGAAACTGCTCTTTATTTGTATTAGACAAATTCAACAGGATTTTGTTAGAGTCTAATTTTTCATGAACAGTTTGATCAACCAATGAACTTTTTGTAACATTAAAATTATTAAAATTATTTGGTAAGGAAATTTGTGTATTGTTAGGACTTTTTTCTTTTTTTAATAATTTTTGCTGACTTATACTATCATTCAAGTCATAAGAATTAGATAAATGTTTTGTTTGCAGTAATGAATCTTTTTTTATTGTCAACTTATTTATTGCAGTTTGGTTGCATTTAAATAAATGTTTTTTTATTTGTGAAGATGGGACTTCTCGTTGACATAAACCACAAAGAACCTTTTCTTCTTGATTGCAACGTACAAGATGAGCTTCAATTTTTGATACAGGAACTTCTGAATCACAAAAACTGCAAGTAACATTATCACTATTTCTTTTTTCATTGCTTAGAAGTATTGTTTTCTCTTTTTGCCTCATATTCAATCTATTCAAATAACCTGTTGGTGGTCTAACTTGAGTCTTAATATTTTCATCTTCTTCAAAAGATTTAATTATATTGGCAGTGCCTGCATTTTTTGATATTCGCACTCCATTAATTTTTGTTCCCAGTTTAGGAGGTGCTGCAGGATTATCAGATGTGCATGATTTTTGATGCACATTAAGTCTTTCAGGCAAAAATGTTCTTCCACAGTTATCACAGGGTATCAACTGGGCCTGAGCACACTTGTATGAAATTTCATTAATTTGATCTAATATACTTTGATTACCATTTTCTCCGGCTGATAACTGGTTATAATCAGGTTTTGCTGGTGGCTGGGTTCGTCTAAGATGCTTTGGAAGTTTTTTATTTTCTACAAACCAATTTTTCAAACAATTTGGTTCGTGTATTGAAATGGATTTAGTTCCATATTTCCTTCCACATAAATAGCAAATTACATATGGCGCTTGTGCTCCAGCCATTAATGTCAATGCTAAGTTTCATTCCTCAATCTCTTTTTTTTTCTATTTTAAACAAATAAAAATAACATTAAATGTAAATAATTAAATGTAAATAAATAAAATTTAAATTATTAATAAATTTTAGGCATTTAAAATTTGAATAAAAAGCAATTGCTATACCAAGTTTTAATAAATTCAGCAAAAACAAATATTTAGAAACATTAATATATAGATAAAAAAAATAATAACAATCACAAAAAAGCAACATAAATAACAGACAAAATCCCTGAATGAACGTTTTTTAGTCCGAAGTTTTTCTGCGTAGGTTCTTATGCACTTACAATATTACTTAAGAAATACCGCTTGTTTATAATTACTGTAATATTAAATATTTCAAAACCTTATCAGACTAATCACAGTGTAAAATACCAACCTAAAACTCGCTATTATTTATCTTTAAAGTAGTTAGGTAGTGGAATAAAAATATATACGTTTATTCATATTTGTCACCAATTAATAATTAAATTTTATTAAATATGTTTTTTAAATCAATTTGAAATTCAGTTCGTGAATAGTTACAATATTTATTTACATTTATCGGTTGTTAACTACTTTCGTGTAATTAATACATGAGTTCATCAGCAGATGGCGTTATTTTTAAGCACAAAGGCTAAGAAAATTTTATTTGAATATGAGCAATTTTTGTTGATATGCACGAACCATTATTTTGTAAGGTAATAGTTATTTAAAATGATTTTATACACAATAATAAATAAAGTTTATTGTTCTTCATTTAAGGTTAAAGTATGAATTAAATTTTGCTGAGTTTATCAAAACACAAAATCAGATTAAAAAAAAGTGACAAATAATGAATTAAAAACTATATACAAAAACTTATTAGTTTCACTATAACATTAAAAAATATTACTAAAGTAGTATGTAATAATAATAATAATAACATAATTTTAATTCATAATTTTCGTTTTCATTACTTTTTTTAGAATTAGAGTTTTTTTAAATTAAATAAAGTCAATATAAAAAAATATTGGTCCAAGAGTCTCTTGAAGAGAAAATTAAAAAAAAAAAAATTTGCTACACATCAGTTTTAATTGTTTGGTAAGTGAAGCACATAAATTATAGACTTTACTGTATTTTGTTTCAAAAACTAATAAATTCATTATTTATCAAATAAAATAGTTTAACATCAGATATGAATAAAAATAAAGGCTAAATGACTAAATAGTTAAACAACTGGGATAAATATGCATCTGTATTAGGTACGTGACATGAAAATTTTAAATTATTTAAATAGTAGATTGTTATATATCATTAGAAAGGTCTTTAATTCAATTTTTCAAAAATGAAAAAATTATAAAAATCGGACAATTCCATAAAAAGTTATACTTGATTAAGTGACGAATTATCGATATATGGATATCTTGATAAAACTGAAGCAAAAAAAGTTTTTTTTTTACTAAAATTATCATAACTTAGTCAATTCTCATCAAAATCCTTATATCTTGGTATTTAAAAATAGGTGCATAAATAACCTACAAAATTATAACAACCTTGAGCAATTTGGCATACCGTCGGCGGCGGCGGGCGCATAGATACGCTGTCTTTGCGGTCAATAAAAAGAGATTTTTCTAAATAAAAAAGTGTTTCTTCAGGAAACCGGTCTATTTCATTTGCAAAAAGTTGTTACAATTTCATTACACTTCACTGCCAAATATCAAAGGTTTATTAAAAATATGGGGTGGACCTTGGGTGTTAAAATTCAACACACCCTAATTTAAAAAAACAATCATTCTCATAATCATTTTTATCTTTATTTCAAAATATACATCTAATAGATCAAGTTTATAAAATGAATAATTTTTTTTTACATCTTTAAAACTATAAGTAGTGATGTACACAAAGACACGAGAAAAGGGCGTATCCCGCCCCCTCTAACCTAAAAAAAAAATTTAAATGAGGTTTCCAAAAATAAAAATTGCTATTATTTTTAATGCTTTATTTTAATATAAAATTATTTTTACCATATTACAGTAGTAGTATTAAAAGATGCATCAGAGTACTCATTTTTGCAGAGGGGGTGGGAGTTACCCCCTCTAACCTAAAATTATTAAAAAAAATAAAATGACATTTTCTAAAACAAAAACTGCTATAATTTTATATATTTTATTTTAATATAACATTATTTTTACCATAATACAGTAGTACT